TGGCTGGAATCCATGTGGAGCTGGCTCAATTTGGGCTCAGGGGTTAAGGATTTCAGCCAGGAGCAAGCAAGGGGGATGTGTACAATATATATACATATATATATATATACACACACATAACATATGTAATATATAATATGCACAATATACCCCGATATATTGGGGTCGCTTTGGTTGATCTGGAGGCCTCGAGTAGAGTCGGTACCGGGTTTCCTGCTTTAAGCTCTAAAAATCTGAGACGTCCGGAAGCGGAGTCGGAGCCACGATAGTCCAACCGGAGGATGCACAATCACAGTGGACGCGCACCGTGAATTCCAGGCAAAACAAGCTCCTTGTCGTCATCTTGACCTGTCAAGCTTGGCTTCGGCTAGGTTCAACCGGATGTCGCATGCACAGGCCTCCTCCCCCGTTGGCCACATCTTTCGGGGACCCCTCTGCGGGTGCATCACGAAGAATGGCCTTCCAAACAAGACAGGCACTTAAAAAAGGACTGAAGAATTAGAGGACCCTGCCTCGAGCTCAGCCTCCACGTCGCCCTCGTCCGCTCCCTGTGCCTCCGCAGCCTGCGCCCGCTTCTTCTCATCCTGCACGGAGATCAGCTGAGCTTAAGCTGGGCCCGCCTGCCTTGCAGCTTGCCTGCTCGCGGAGCTCCGCAGATGCGACACGGGCCTTTCGCGAACACGGAAGCGTGCGGCATAGAGCGTGGTTCAGAGGCCAGCCTTCTCGAAAACTAGGGCATCCTCGGCTGCCGCTTGCTGTACCTTGCAGAAGTGCACCCCACATCGTGTGGGAGAGATGGGCAGTTGCATGTACAGGAATGCTGCGACTAGCAGTGTTTGGGGAGCCTTCTCTTCTTCCTCCGTTGAGTCTTCGTTTCTCGGCACCTACGCACAAGGACCGCCGCGAGTAGGAATTGGCGAAGGCTCCGCCAAAAGCCTCTTCGAAGACCAGGTCTACGAAGAAGTCGTCTGTAAACCGATCGTCGTTGCAAGCTGCATCGAGCTCAAACTTGCTGAGTTGCAGACCTCGCACAGGACTGTGGAAAACCATGCAACCGCGATCCGCGTCATGCTTGGAATTCCTGATGCCGTGCGCTTACTGCAGCCTTCAGGCTTGTGCCTCGAGAGATTGGGAGAAATCCGAGCCATGGCCATCGCTAACATAGGAACATGCGGCAAGGATGCCTTCTGTGACGAAGTTCGTGTGGAAAGCCAGCTTCATTGCTAGCTCCCGTTTAGCATCCAGGTAGAGGTGAAAAACCTCCACAAGCCACAAGCCGCTGTCCGCAAACGCAGCGCTTAGTGCTCTACCTGTCCACCTGGATCAGCACGTCCCCTGAGACGACTAGCTGCCCAGGCAGTGGAAAAGCCACCACCTTCTCTGAACATCTCTGAACTCTGAACTCAACTCACATAATGCAGCACGGGTCCTCCTCTCCCACTCTCTCACTGGTTTTCTCTCTGGACCTTAATCCGCCAACAGTCTGTGCCGCCCACGGAATCACTGGATGCGTAGCTGCTGGGCCACACGGCCTGGCGAGAACCGACTTGACTCATCCATGCATCTATTTGGAGGAAGGCCTTGACACGGCCCAGTCAGCCATAGGGCTTGGAATGGAAAAGAAACGTGCCTGGCCTCATCACTCTTTCCGCCTTTGAAGGAGGAGTAGGCCAGCTCTCCAGCGACCCACACTTCGATGAAGGGTCTGAAAGCGACACTTCCTTGCAATTTGGAACAAGACAGTGCCCGCGCTCCCACATGCTCCCACACTCGCACCACAGATAAACACGCTCAATGTTGTCGGGAAGGTTGAATGCAAATTTCAATCAGGTCAAGCCAGAACCGTGCCCCTTCTTGAACCTTTCGCACCTGTCTAGCATCCTAACCCAGGCCATGGCGGATTCCTCAAAAACTTGGCTCGTTGCAGCCGGCGCACCCTCAGCTTCAAAGCTTGGCACGCCACTCAGCAAGACCTCGTTCGAAAGCGACAGTGCATGCACAAACAAGGAATTGGACTTGCTGGCGATCCGTTGCATCTCACTCACATGGTACTGCCAGCATGTGATCCGAATCCTGCCTTGGACAAGCGCAAGCGCTTTGGCTGCGGCGTAGTGCCCTGGACACAACCATGTCTTGCAGCTATTCCAGTAGACGATGCGGTAGGCATCATGCGGTAGGGGACAACTTGCCCAGACATGTTCGACGCAGAAGCATTTTGTGGCCTCCAGGAACTGGTGGAAGTATCCTCGGCTTGGCAACAAAGGCACATGGCATGCAAAACGCTCAACTCCTGCAATAGCCCAATATTTTTGGCATGAACAGCTTTGGAGAAGAGATCTCCGGCTGCATTGAGTTGACCAGTTCGCCAGGAGTCCAAGGTATCGTTGCTGGGATGGTAGCATCCGCAGAGGCAACCGTTCGGCGATGGTCTGCAGAGCCTCCTGAAAGGACGAACACGAAGCGTATCTAATGATGCTAGTGATGCAAGAATTCCCTTAGTTCTTGTACCGTAAAACCTTAAAACATACTGGAGAAAACACTATCACTATCCCCAATATCCCTAGTATTTCTACCGCCTGCTGTCCAAGACGGTCCTTTGGGCTTCGGTGCGTCCGAAAGGACTCGAAGCAGGCGCCAAGAAGCCCGGACCGGCCATAGCCTGGCCCCAGGCGCACGAAAAAAAAAACAACGCCACAATGCAGGAACCCGCTTACGGAACCCCGGTTCAAAACCCCATCGAAGATGATGCTACTAAGAGCCCTCATAAGCGAAGCAGCTTCCTTTGTCCGGAATTTGAGTTGTTGAAGGCTCCGGTGGCTGCCCAAAAACCTGCTCTGCCACTCAAACCTAGTGCCAGACTTCAAGGCTAGGGAGTCCCTCATTTTCGGAACCAACAGCCGCGGGGGATGTCTGAACTTTACCGGCAGAAAGGGGGGAGGGGTGCAAGGAGAGGCCTGAGCGGCAGTGCAGCACCAGAAGGTGGCCCGAGTCAGTCGCTAGCCACTGGCTAGCCGTGAGACAGAGCTCCGCCACCAGCTTCCTGGGTTCTCGCAAGCTCTTGTAGCTGGACCCTGTCGATAGCCGCCGCTTTCATCGCAAAGGGGATACAAGCACAATATCTAGAACTGGCATGAGAGGACGAATGGCCGGTGCAGATCCCACGGCCATCAATCACAGCAGGCAAGGCTCAGCGGCGGCACTTCCATCTTCTGCATGTTGATGCCGACGACCTTCCAGGGCAATAGTTTCAGGTCAAAATAACATATTTTCATATATACATATTTTATATTTATTTATCTATATATATATATACATATATATATATATACCTATATACATATATACACACACACTTGGCGCCGCACAATGGAAATCATGATGAGCTCAGAGGCAAGAGCAAGTGATTCAAAATACAAAGGCGAGGAACGCCAGGAAGTCAAGGCAAGCAACAGGATTGAGTAAAAGCTATGCTAATGCTCAGCACCAGCAGCCGGACAGAAAACCATGAAGGAAAGGCACCACAGCTCATGAGATGATACAAGTAGGACTAATGTAACCATAGCGGAAGTGGTCTTGATCACGGCTCTGGACTCCAAACTCATCGAGCCGCCTCGCCATCAAACTTGCTGCTTTCGTAGGGCTCCTCTGAGAAGTCAAAGATTAACATCTTCTGGGAATACGACTCATTGAGCCGCTTAGCCTCGGCTGTGAACCGCGCTGAAAAGACTGCTGCGATTCGCTGCGAGTTTCATCGAAGGCACTAGCCTCTCAATGGTCTCTATGCCCGGGTACTCCATGATGACCAGGTCTGGTTGCCTGCAGGTAGAAGGCTGCTGGACTACGGTTCCGAGCTCAAGATTGCGACAATCTCACGCTAAGGCTGAGCTGCAAGGTGTAGATCTGACAGTCGAGCTCCTCAAAAGTCCGCCTGTACTCAGCCTGCACCTTCGCAAAGGTACTCCAAAGCTAATCCACGGCAAAATTGCTGCTACAGGACTTCATCACAGCATCATCGATGCACGATGTGGCAAGCCGCGTATCACTCTACAGCAAGTCTTCCTCCATTTCAAAAACCATTGCCCGAAAATTGCCGTGCATCTCCCAGTTTTTGCACAGCGGCGCTCTCGGAGACCTTGTTGGCCGCCTCAGCCACCTTCGCACAGTTCTGCCGTGCGCCACTCGAGACTTTCGGCCCTGCAGGTGGACTCTCCTGCTGCTCCGTTCTGACCTTCGGTCAATTAGCTCCGGCCTGATTGGCAGCATCGCGAGCTTTCTGAACGAAATCAACCTGCACATGGCAAAGTTCGAAGCGGAAGACAAGGACGCCCAGTAACTCAGTCGTTCGACAGAGGTCAATGGCAACGGCTGGGCCTCTGCAAACTTCTGAACGAAGTCGGTGTCCTGCAGCTGGTCCACTTTCTCCTGAAAAAGGCAAAGCAACTCCTGAACCTGCTTAGGGATGACCCAATCAGCTGTCAGAATGCCTGTGCCGAAAGCCTACATTCTGCAGGCATAGACCCCAAACATTCAAACTCCATCATAGTTAGCAGTTCGTGCCCCAAACACCTGAACACCATTCCAGGCACTTGGGTGAGCATCCCAAGACCGGCCCGTGATGACGCGTCAGCACGGTTCGGAAAACGCCACACCAGCAGAAAGACCACAGCAGCTCAACGTCTAAGCAGCAGTGGCACTGCTTGCGGGAGCACGATTTTCACCCCAAACTGTGCACAGCTACGGCAAGAGCACGATTTGGGAAGGCACCAAAGGCATCGGCACTGTAGCAACGGCACAGTTTCCGACTTTGAAACGTCACCTCCCCCAATAGCGGCGTCGATGCTACATCCAACGGTCAAGAATCTGCACAACCCAGCCCGGCTGCAACCATAGAGCCTGTGACGCTGTGGCGAGAGCGCGATTCATTAATTGCAACAGCCAAACATCGCAGCATATTGCAATGAAACACCAATAATGAAAACCTTCATCCTCCGCAATCGCGCGGAACGTCATAGTGTGACCACACAGTGTAGCGAACTAGATCAGCATCGGGTTCACTGACACAGCTTTTCTTATGGCCAAGCATTTGACAGAAGTATTCCTTGCCTGCGCCTTCTTGAGGGTGTCGGCTGCTTTGGACAGCAGCCAAGCCATGGCAAAGTGAATTCCCTAGACAGCGCGGGTTCTCTTTAGACTCTAGACTTGCTCTGGCCAGCCATAGATGCACGACTACCCAAGGCTATGAGGGCTGAAAGTAAGGCAATGACTGGCACACAGGAGACTATGTAAGCTTGGCAATCACTCGCTGTGGTAAGCTGCGTCGTCAAGCTCTAACCCCATCTCTGCTGCACCCTGGGATAAAGCGTTCCAAGAGCTCGGCACTTCGTGAGGTCAGTGCAAAAGGCGGCAATGCGGAAGACGACTCGCCTGCATGACAATGACTCTCTGCTTCAAACAATGTGTTTTTTGGCGGTCGCCCTCGACTACGTCAGGCTAGGTTAGAAGCCAACGGCTTCATGTCTGGGTCTGGCAATTCCAAGCGCTTTCTTGTTTCTGTATGCGGGCGGCGTTCTAACCCGGCGACGACATGTGTGGTGTGGCTGGCCACAGGCAGCTTCTTCTGATCAGGCATGACTCGTCGCTTGGCTTGACATAGCCTCCGATGACGTCCACACGATCTGGCACGGTCCGCTCGAGCTTCAAGTTGCCAATTTCCGAGGACTTGTTGGAGCACCTCCATGATAGTTCGGGGCATCATGACCTTTCTACCACGAACCACGCCGGAGAGCTCGGAGTCGTTCTCACTGGCACGTCTGCACTTCCGACGGAGTTGGCCACGTTCACTCAGAACCCGTGTCGTATGTGAAGATCCACTGCAAAGGTGGGCCGTCACTGCGAGTGTCCTCAGGACTGAAGCAGTGATCACAAGGTTCACGACGGGAGCTCAGAAATCGGCCTCACCAGGTTTGATCAGCTCCCGGTATACGTCGGTGGCAGCAGTTATCGGCACAAATCGCGAGCTTATCCAGTCCTGTGCAACACAACTTTCGCACTTCAACTTGCCTGGTCATTCATGGAACTCGGTGGAAGCACGGGACGGGACGGGTAAGGTGAAAAGGGGCAGCAGTACATCACCGTGCAATCTGGTAAATGCACTCCCGTCTCCTTGGGTCTGAGCTCCCGAATCAAAGACCAGGTCAGGTCGGAGCGCCGCGCCTCCAAGTTCACTCAGACCCAGACAGTCGGACGGGGCAGTATGCGGGGTCCTTCGTCCATCTTGTGGAGAGATCTGCCGGTATTCGGCTCACCTGAAGGTCCGTGATGCGAAGAAGGGGGGGAGCCTCCCGCCTCCCTGTCTCGGGCCTGAGAGGCTTTCAGGGAAACCTCCGAGCGGTGGAAGCGAAGACCCAACGGCAAACCCACCGGCGACTCTCCATACAATGATCCTGAGTCTGAAGTCGCACCGCTGGAACCGGAACAGCAAAACTCGCAGAACTTCATTAGCGTCCAGGCACCGATAACCACGGTCCCGCCGCGACGGCAGCGCTGGAGTGCAGAAGCCAGAGCATCCTGTGAGCCGCTGGCTTCGATGCAGACGTCAAAGTCCGCACCAGTGCCGCAAGAGATCTGGGGGAATCTCCGCTGCAATGCAGCCAAGCGGTCGACCCGAGGGTCAAAGACCGTGACAGGGTATCCATGGTGCGCCAACACCGCAGCAGTGAGTGCTCCCACAGTTCCGGCGCCAAAAACAGCCACAGACTCACCGATCACAGGCGCGCCGTCCTGACTCAAAGCACAGGCCGTTTCCATGTTCGCGAAGAATACCGCATCCTCGTCACTCACATCCTGAGCACAAGCCAGGGTATGAGAGGAGGGGACTGGCAACAAAAACGAAGGAATCGGGGAACCATAGAGCGCAAAAAAAGAATCACCCATTCGGAGAGCTGCTGACAACTACAGTCGTTTCCCGAGAACGGGGAGAGTGAAGCGAGGGCCGTGGTCAGGCATTTCTTTTTGCCTGCCTCTGGCAGAACATGCACAACGAAATCCACATCCAAGAACGGCCAAGTCCGGCCAAGAATCGGTCGGGATTTTCTGTGCTGCGGATGATGGCACGATGGCGTGGCTCGAATGAGGATGAAAGCAAAATGCTCTGGTCCCAGGCAATAGGTCGGCAGCGTTCGACTGGACAACAGACCCAACCATGCAGTACCCATACCTGGCAGGGCATGTGTCATGGAGGTTTCATGTGTCAGTGCTCCGCAGCATCTTGTGTCTGTTTTGCCATCCCTGGCACCTGAAAGGCCAAGCCGTCTCACCCAACTCGTGGGTCACATCCAAAGGTTCTGTGCCCGGACCTTGCATCAGCATGCGCCTGACCAGGAGCCATGTCACATCGCTTTAATGTCTAAGCGACGCTAGTGGTCTGACGCCGAACTCTCCCACGCGACTGGCGAGCCTCTCTGTGCCTGCTGATATCCTGAGTCCAAGGACTTGTTTGGATCCGATCAGGAATGCTCACAGCTGTTCGCCGGTGCCGCACCCTGCGCCCGCGGCGCAGCGTGCCAAGAGTAAGGCGTCGCACAACCGACTCTTCCGGCTCCGTTGCTGCACACCACCACCCGACCACCCAACCCGGAACTCAACAGGTGGGATCTGAAGGGTCGAGTTTGAACGTTACGCTGGGAGGAGGACTCCCAAAAAAAAGTGCTCGCAAAGCTCCATGACTGTCGGAAGCCACGAATGCCACGACGCACATCATCCTGAACCCCAATACCCTGACCAGACACTGCTGATAGGCTTGTGACCCCAAACACGCGCTTCATCCAAGGCTCGCAGAATAGCTTGCCTGCACGAGGACCTCGCCCTGCTGTCAGCAGTACGAGCACTGGCCCTTGCAACTAACACGAAATGGGCCTCCCCGGGTTGGCCGAAGGTCTCTTCGACCTCAGAAAGAGCTAAGAGTCGAAGGCCACCCTGTCCCAAAGAGGCTCTCTGCGGTCGAGTGGCCAGGCACGCCTCGCCCGGCGCAGCGAACTCCACCGCCAGGCGGCGCCGCGGCGCTGCCTGGGAGGTACACCAGCGACAAAGCAAGTCTTTCGAAGAACGAGCCGCCCGTGGCCAGTGAGTGGAGCTGAAAAGGGCGGCGGGCGGCGCATCGCTTCGACCGTTCGTAGGCCGAGCAGCTCGCAAGCTGCCGGGAACTCTCCCAAGGTAATCCACCTGAGCACATCGCCAAGAAAGGGGTGGGAAAATAAGGTGCTCCTGCCCATGGCCGGGGGGCATTCTCCACCTTGAGAACGACGTCCTCTCAGCCACTCCCACGCAACTTCCGGGGCTGACCTTCACCCTTTATTTCGGAAGTCCTCGGCCAGGTCACCAGGGCTGGCGGAGCGCTGAAGTGCGGCCACAGCCTCGCCCACTGCTGCATGGCCGTGAAAGCCTCCCAGCAGCAGGCACCAGGAAGATCTCTACCAGTAGTCTCAGGTTCCGATGGCTGCCGGCCTAGGGCATTCACAGCCATGAAGGAAACGAGCTGCTTGAAAAGGGCAGGGCAAGCCTGCAGCAGTTGCCGAAGCACGCAGCACTCTCTAGAGCGGCTGCACCTTGGAGTCGAGAAGCCAGGATGAGGGGCCTGCCCGCCAAGTGGCAAATTAGAAGACACATGGCAAGGCTGAAAAGTCGAAGGATGACCGCAGCTAAAGCCCTGTTGCGATGTGGCGCTCCTTTTGCGATCGTCTCGCCAAGGGAATCGTAGAAATTGGTTACGTTCGTGACCTGGCCGCGTCGCGCAGTTGATTCCACTGCGCTTTCGATATAGTAAAGAGGAGCGAAAGGTAAGGGAAAGCGCCTGGCCCCTGCACTCCAGCGATCGGTTGTAGTCTGCTGTTAGCAGCTCCATGTCTCCGTGGCGGGGGGATTCGAGAAGGGTCACGCCGGCGTAATGGATGGGAAAGTAGAGCAGGGCTCCTGCCTGGACAAGGCGATCTTGTGACGGTGCATCTCACGAATCATGAAATCACTAGGTTCTGCTTTCAGAACAATCAGCCAGAGACCGGCAAACGTCCGGCACTCGTTCTGTGCCTGGTGTTGTCGAAGAGCACCTGATAAAGCCTGCACGTCGACCAGGTCGAGGATGGAGCACCCTTGATTTCGTGAATGGTGGAAGTCGAACGTCAGGCTGGCTAAGGGGTAACATCATATGAATCATATGTGTATGTCGCCAACTCCAGGCTACCTTTAGAATTGTCCAAATCCAAGTAATGGACCATGCCTTCTGTTGCTAATTGCTTCCGGCTTGCCCACAATCAGCGTCTGCTGCGGCATGGTCTCCAACGAATTCACGGCGTCTCCTGCCCTGCAGCCGGTCTCAGGGCAAAGTAGGCCAAGAGACTTTGCATGGGAACAGGATTCCCACTACTGTCAGTCTCTAGGTTCGACAAGGTGCAACATCAAGACATCGCATGCTGCAAGGCTGTTGCGCTACGAGCATCCACGAGGACCACGCCTAGGACTTAGGGGAGCACTACAGGCCAATGGCGCACAGAGCGCGGCCCGAAGAAGGAGCGAGAGAAAGGAGAAACGGCCAAAGGCCGTGCCGAGAACACAGCAGAAACACCCCAGGACGGGCGATAGCGCACAAGGGCGCGGCCCGAAAAAGGAGAGACTGCGCAAGGTCATGCCGAGGACAAAGCACGAGTGCTCAGGCAGATAGACACGCAGGCGCGGACGGGAACCAGAGGTCAGAACATGTCGCAACCCAAGCGCCCGCCACGTAGCCAAGGGAGGAGGACAGCCACAGCAAAGGGCCAGGAAACAGGCGAGTCAAACACAAAATAGCCAACCCCGGTCCTGAATACTCCAGGGGCCCAGAGGGTCTAACGAGAAAAGCGTGAGGGAGAACAGAGAGGGGTGGGCCGGCCATGAACAGCGTAACACCCGGTCAAATGCGCAAGGAAGGAGCACCGAGCACCATCAGTTGGTCTCGGGGTACAAGGGGCCGCAGAAGGGAGAAGGAGAAGGAGGTAACTCAAAAATGGAGAAGAAAAGGATGTGGCGAAGACCAGCGGCCTTTAACAGGCGCTAGAGAGGAAGGCAGACGAGCAGGCACAGCGCCGAAGAAGAGGTGGGCGGTGGAGGGGGGAAGAGAGACGAGCAAGGACGCAAACGATGCCGAGGTAAAAGCGGGAAGGCAGGAAGGCAAGGGGACAGGAGAGGGAGCAGCGAGAAGGAGGGCGGAGAAAAGGAAGGAGAGAGTGATCGTGCAACCAGAGCAGGAGAGCAGCTACCAGGGCTCAAAAGGCCAAGGAAACCAGCGTGCCAGGAGACAGAGGAGTGGAGGTGATCAGTCATCAAAGATCCCAACAAGACAGGGACCAGACACAAGAACTGCCCCAGACAACACCAGCATGAGATGAAGAGGAGAGGTGCGACCAAGTTGCAAGGGGAGGCGAAGGAACAGAGACGAGAGAAAGGAGAAGAGGGGAGTCGCGAGGTAGCAGGCAGGTGGGTGCTCCTCGACGGGGAGAGACCCGTCTTAGTGCCGTTTCTGGGGTCCCACCAACCGCCAGGCCCGAAAGCATTCCCCCGATGTGCATTTTGAGAGACTTGGTTATGTAAATTGAACCGAGGCCTCACCTTTGTGCACAAGCATGACTGTCTTGCACACCAGGTGCAGATTGGCAGCAAGGGATACATTCCAGGCCACCGCAGTTTAAGCGCAGGCCGAAGTCTCGCAGTGCACTCCAGCAAATCTACGGTTGCAACCTGCAACCCGGGACGACAGAAAGATAACCCAACTTCCGACACGACGATGTCAGACGATACCCTCCGACACTGTTCACATACATGTGTCCCCACTTTGCCGTCGCTTGCGAACAGTTTAGAGTCTAGAGGCACGGTCAAATGCTGAGGTCTGCGTTGAACTGCTTGCGGCTTCTTGACAAATGATAACCGCAACGAAACGTGTACTGTTCTACTTCTCTTCGTCGCACAACGGCTGTTGCTGTTGGCACTGTTCCCACACCAAGACGTGGACAGAGCAAGCACAAATGGATGCCGTCTCTGGTCATTCTCAACATCAGCCAAGGTACTGCAAAGTCACCGTCACCTTCGCCAGGCAATTTCGGGCATCGTACGGTGAATTATGCAATCCCTTGCAGCCTGGCAGTTCGGCAGCTGCCAAGTGTTGGGCAGAACGCCATGTGGAGTCGCCGCAAATTGCGACTCCAAACCTTGGCTGCTCACACCTTTACACTCGCAACGCCTCTCCGGGGTCATTATGTCTTGACAAGAGGCGCTCTGCAGCAGCCTGCTTCAAGAGTTCTTCATCGCGGTCCAGGGCTGTGTACTTCACCTGGCAACCTGCAGCTGCTACGGTTGCTTTGCTATGCCTACGTCACGATGCCGTGCAGGCCTAGAAGCCTTTCGGCAAAGCCTGCAAAATCACCGACAGCATTGACAGAGTACCTTGGCCGTGCAACATGCAATTCCTCGGTAGCAAGCAATCCAAGATATGTCGCCGTGTCAAACCGAATCCTGGCCACCGTGCCTGCACCCAGGTCAAGGATGGAGATCTGCTGCCCTGAGGCTGCGGGGTATCAGCGCGAAGCAGCGAAGGTCCGAACTCGTGACTGCCCTCAGCCAAGCCAGGGACCAGCGTAGCCGGCGAGCTCCATCGCCAGCTGAGCACGCACCGAGGCAGAGAGGGCTCGAAGGTCGGCGACCTCCTTGGCCTGGACGGGAATGCGCCCCCTTTTCACTCCTTCTACTGCATCTGCTGTGGCCACAGTCCTGAGGTCCTTTGCAATCCCAGGCAGCACCTAGAGCCCCCCAAAAAAACCAAAGACTGTCAGCCTGTAAATAGTGGCTTTTGGACAAGCGCCAGCTGGCCGGCACTACCTCCGTTCACACGACAAGGCCCCGTGAACCTTTCAAGTGGCTTGACTGCTTGGAGAGCTGGTCAATGCCAACAACTGCATGCCAAAACTTGCCGGGAAGCCATCAGAGCATCTGCCACCAGCATCATGATATCGTCCGAACGCCGCCTGAAACTGCTTAGAACATACACAAGCTATCAATTGCGAGACTTCGTAGGATCGCGATAGACGCTTGTCATGACGAAGTCTGAAGTCTGCAATGCGACAGATTCGAGCTCGACTTCTGCTCTCGTTGACCAAAACATTGCATCACACTTTCCTCGCCTAGTTCCTCGCATTCTTAGCATATACCGAATTAGCATCTTGGTGGTCAGCCCTGGCAAGGCAAGTGAGCTTGCTGGCTGGGCTGGGCACGCGTTGGATGCCTTTCCCGCACCATCCCACTAACATGGTGTTTCGGATCCTTAAGCCCCTGCGCCCCTACATGCTCCAACTGGCAGTGACACCAACCACAAGGGCTCAAAATCCTCTCGAAAGCAGCGGTTGCCGAGCTGCACATGTGCAGAGAGCAGTCCAGAAGCTACTGCAGCTCGGACATGGCCTCATTGCTCCGATCAGCGCAGTGCACAGGAACCCCTGTGGTATTCTTTATGGGGCTTGGCCCCAGCTTTGAAAATCAAGCAGCCCAGGGAGTCGTCAAAGAATTTGGCTCTCGCCCGGGGCAGCATCTCAAAGAACCTGCTCCAAGAGAACACTCAGATTTACCACAGCATTCAACAGATCTACAAGGCAGCCTAAGGGCCATCATGTACTTGCCAGCTTTCATCTTGAGGATTGCGAAACAAATCTTAGGGACATAGTCCCGTAGGGATTAGCAGCGCAGCCAAGGTCCCTGCAAACAAAAAGAACAGCATTTTGAGCTTCCCTCAAATGCAGCCACGAGCATGACTCACAGGAGTCACAGTGCCACCGGGGCCTGGCATCAGGCTTGTTGATCCAGTCGTTCTCCGGGGAGGGGCAGATGATGTGCAGAAGATCGCTCTCGAGCCCCAGGGCCTGCAAATTCTTGGACTTTTCGCGGCACAACGTTACAATGCAAACCAGAAGTGCCTCGAGGACACGATCCACAAATCTGCGCGGCGAGTTCGTTGCCAACCACAAAGAAACACCGTGCGCCCTGGCGAAGCTGCAAAAAGCTCATTAGTCACATTCAGCACAGCCGTTGAGAACTCTGCGGCGTCGATGTTTGCAATGCAGGAAGCAGGTGCCTCAAGCTCTTCAGCTGCAGGGCCAGAAGCGGATCCGGCTGTATCGCCTGCAAAGTTGGAACCAGATTATCACTGCCATCTCCGGCATTCAGGGGTCTGGGGGCAGATCCCACCTCCAGGTCCACGCCGTCATAGACACTAGAATAGAAAGCTGCGATGGCCTCTCCTGAAAGATGACCTTCAGAAAGCAGTCCTTGCAAGATTAAAGGGAGCGGTGAGGCCCCATGGATGGCTCTGGATGCTCTCTTGCGCTCCTCGGAGGGTTGATCCATGTGATCTGAAGAGCTCTTGGTGCGCATCTGGCCCAAGCCCGAGCTTCTCGGTGGCCTTGCCGAGCCTCTTGACGATCTCATTTTCTACTTCTGCGTTTTTGTACAGAACTCCGTCCATGTCCAGGATCATCTGCCAGGAGCTTGCAAACATCCGTCTCCCTGGGCCATGTGCGGAGGCACAGGGCTTGGGCTTGGCATTCAGCCAACCTCGCGTGCGCAGCCGCATGCAGAGTTGGGCCTCAGGGAGGGCTCTCCACATGAGTTCTAATGATTCTATTGGCGATCGGCTCTTGAGCCAGCTGCGAGCAGGCCAGCGTGGAACAAGGACTTGCGCACCCTGCAAGCTCGCCAGTGGTGCAGGCTGTTGCAACTAAACGGCCTTGTTTATCTCCTCTGAAAATAATTTGCTCCGATCCAGGGAGCAGCGAACCGGACTCAGGCGCACGGAGCAGCAACCAAACACAGAGTTGCAAAGCCTCTTCACTCGCGGCGCCAATTTCCCAGCGTGTGGCCGTTCGGCACGAAGCATCTTCAGAGGGCACGAGCTCTGAGTCTTCAAAGCTCGGGTCCTGTCAACAGCACTTGTTTCATCCCGCGACCCACCCACCCCCACGACATGGGGCAACTGGAGCCTCTGACACTCTGCTTTTGGTGGCTCTGCTTCTGGAACTTCTTCCGTTCGAAGGGCGTGGGCAGGCAAGCCTCAGCAGCTTCCGGCGTCACCTGGACATGCGTGGAATGCTGGACCTAGACATATCACACACCCTGAATATTTTCGCGGTGTTGATGCAACCATGTGCCGGGCTGTGGCCTCAAAGCACTATGATTTGCACTCTCGCAACTCGGGCACTCCATGTCCAGAGCACACGTGAAAACCCCAAACATGATTGACAGTTTAAGCTTAAACTTTGGACCGCATTACACGTCAGGTCAGGTAGTAATGGCTGAGAGCTTTCCTGCAGAAGAACGTGCACAAGAAACACGAGCGAGGCACAAGTACAGCTGTCCCTTGCCAGGTACTTCCCCAGCCTCCATGGCAAGGCCCGTCGGGAGCAGGGAGACTTCTGCGCTGGCATCTGGAAACCAGTGGCTGTCACTGATATCCAACACTGCAACAGAATCTGTTTGGCCACCCTGCCTCCACGCTTTCGTTTCCGAACTTCGGCAGAATCTGTCGCGAGGCTCCAGGGCTTCTGGAGGCCGAAAAATGCCAGTACATGACCTCAAGGATGCGGCATCCATCCTACAAGTCATCTTCAGTCTCTCATGGAGGTTGAAAACCCTCCACCGCAAACAGCACCTCCAACGGCCGAATGCCTCTGCAGCCTGGCATTGCAGCAAAAGAGTAGGAACCAAGTGGCGAATTCCGGCCCAGAGGCGCCAGGTATACGGCTCCGCTGCAGCTTCGCTTCTGGTGACCCTCTTCGCTTTGACATTTACAGCCAGGAGGTAGTTGTGGCCCCACAGAAGCAGCTTTTCCGGCGCTTCAGGAAAAGCGGCGATTCCACAGACGCGCGCATGAACTGCCAGATGCCGCTTCGGTATGTCAAAGGGCGGAATATCTGCATGTAAGCTTTGAGACTCGATGTCGAACAAGGTCACCACATGCGCCGTCGTGGCAACAACTAAATATCTGCCGGAGCTGTCAAACCCCAGCGCCGTGGCCGCTCCACGTCCGACGGGAACCGAAGCGTGGTGAAAAAAACCGTCCAAGCTGAAGATGTTGACCGCTCCCGCCAGATCGGCTGAGGCCAGCCACTCACCACCAGACCCTCCGGCGGTCAGCAACGAAACGGGTGCCTTGTGCTCCTCCAAGCTTGCTATGATTTTCCTGAGCTTGCTTGCGGAGAAGAGAAGTCTACAGCTGCCGCTTGCACTCTCGCACTGCTCAGATCACGATGCTGCGCTGGACTCTTCTCCTCACAGTCGAGGAGGTGGATAACCTCTCAAGACAGACCAAAGCGGCGGCTGGAGGTGCATCATGCCTACTTGTGCTAACTTCACGCAAGCTGCAGAGACAAGTGCGGCTTGGGCACATGTCCGTGCCATGGTGCCACTGCGAGCCTCAGACCCAGCTGTTGAACAGCAGGTGTTCCACTACACTACGTCTGAGTCTAAGTTTCATCTTCAGTCCCGAGACTGCGGGTGCTTCGTAGTTGGCCAAGGGCAACCGAGCGACAGTTTTGGCGAGCAGAACTTCAAAGCGCGCGCTGCGCTGTTGGCGATCTCTGTAGGTACAGCAATACGCTGGACCTGCGGCTGCCCTACCCTACAGCACTTGCTCCGTACTCGAGACTTGACTGACTAGATGGCTGGGCCTGGAGCTCGCTCACACTGAGGTTGAAAAGTCGAGTCCCCGTCATGTCGCTTGCCGCCACCCGCTTCCCATTCGGGGAGATCGTTGAGGAACACAGATATTCTGTACCTCCGCTCTTTTCCGGTGATAGCAAAACCAGGCAGGCAGGACCACCAGTAAAGCGCGACTGCCAAGCCGGAGGCCAAGCGGCTCCTCTTGGTGCCGTCCGGCCCAATCGACTTCCCGGCCAGGGAGATCGTGAGCAGCAGCTGCCCTGAGCACCAAAACGGAGAACCAGCGCCCCCTCCCGCACTTTGGGCCCTTTGGGCCTTCCGGTGCCCTGGCCGAAGCTCCGAGGCTCGGCGCGTCCTCCGGCTCGGGCCTCCGCTCCAAACACTGCGGACCCCCCACCCAGCACTAGTCACATCTCCACCAAGCGATGCAAGAAACCCAAAAAGCTAAAGGCAACAAAAAAAGACAGCGGCTTTTGACCACGGACCTGCAAAACCAGCAGGGTAACGACAGCTTACCCTCGCACCCTCGGACTCGCCGACTCGCGACTGAACCCAATAGCCAAGACCCGACCGAAGGAAACTCCTTCTTTCTGAGCTCTGCTGTTCTCGGCCAGGCAGCAGGTACCAGAGCTCCAGGGTCTGTCCCTTCTGGCAAAGAACGAGGCGGCTGTCTTCCGAAATGGATGCCGTCTGGAACAGAGGTGAAAAGTTGCTGCACTGGAAGGGTCTCGCCGCTTTGTCGTGACCCGACTCCAGAGGCTTGAAGACGAAGAGCCTGCAACAGAGAGAGTCAAGAGCGACTGAAAGGCAGGCTCCCGAATCCGTTGCAGGGCGAAAATCCGCCGCCTGCCAGCGGCTCCGGCTGAAATCTGTGTATTCCTTCCCTTCTTTGTGTCGTCGATGACAATCGCACGGACATCATGGGAATGGCCTGGAAACTGGGCGAAATGCACAGGCAGATGGCCCTGCTCCGACCACCCCTATTCCAAATGCGGTTTTCTGCTGCGGTGTCAAGCTTGACACTTGGAGACGATGACATTCTGCTGACACCCACCAGATAGGCTGTGCTACAACCGTTGGAGTTTGGAGTCCTCACTACCTGCACTACCCTTCACCGAGTGTGGTTTCGCGACGAGAGTCAGAGCATCGCATCGCGGAAGACCCACCGCTCCTGCAGAGCAACGGCATCGGAACATCGCACGCACGACCGCGGAAGGAGCCATAGCAGCAAACTGCCGGCAGGCGTTCGTGATTCTTTTATCAATTCTCGCATGCACTGGGACTTCAGGTCTCTCAGCTTTTCAGCTCTGTACAGTATAGAGCACATGTGCTAAGCTAATGCCGTCTTGTGCACTCGTCGATGATGCTCTCTAGCTGCGTCTTTGACGAAGCATCAAGTAGAGGCATCTCTTCCATGATCACAAGAAGCGTCGATCGATCCAGCTTGCCCGTCTTCTTGTCGTCCGCCTTGAAAGACGGTCCGGACGGAAACAGCTTCACATGGGCAGAGAGCTCCTCAGCGTCTCTGGCCCCACGCTCGTATTTTTCCCAGAAGTACCCAACATCCACCAAATAACCAACGTCGGGCCCGTACCCGGACACCGGAAGGAAGACTTTCCAAGTCATGGACTCGTCAGCATCAAAGCCACTCGTCGAGTAGTTGCAGTGATCAGAGGATTTGTACATGACCTTCATGATCTTACCCGGCACGTAGCTTTGTCCGTCCTTACACGTAAGGCCGTCAAAAGCCTGCTTGAGGTCCGACAGAGACAACTTTGCCAACTCCTCGGGGTCGGCTTTGGGCCCCGGCGCCGGCTGGGCAGGCTGGGCAGGCTCCTCCCCTCGCGCATGTCGCGTGCTTGCCCCGCCCATCTATACAGCAAATCAACTCGGACTGCAGAGGACTGCTTGCGCACAGAAATTTGCTGCTGATGGATTTGAGAGGTATGGCCACCAATAGGCCGAGCAAGGAATCTGATCTCAGATGCGCATCCTTTAGCACAAGGATGTATCAGGTGATGTACGCCCGGCGAAGTCATGCGAAATTGCTTTGGTAAAAGGAGAGCATGGATTAATTGATGGCCCACGCCAGTGCGACGACCTGAGCACGCCCGAATCCCTGAAGCCCCCCTTAAGCCCGAAGCAAATCGCTACCCACTCGGACCGTGGGATCCTAGGATTCAGGGCTCCGAGTGCCAACTCCGTCTACACCGTGCCGCTATGACATGTGGCGGACATCAAGCGCCAGGTTGTCCTGGCTGCCCTTTTGGCGGCCAAACTCAGAGATCTTCGCGTCAACGCTGCCAGATAGTAGAGTCCGCCCATCGCTGCTTGCAGCCAAGGCCTCGCTCAGTCCGAGTTGATCTGTCTGGTGCTTTATGCTAGTAAGACTGGTAATCCCCTTGAGGCACGCGGTCTTTCAGAAGATACGCCAAGAAAAATCCACCTCGCCCGCCCGCTCTTCAAACTTCTGGCTTCGCCACTTGAAACTTCCAGCTTCGCCAAGCCACGAGAACGTCGGCCTGGTGCTGAGCAAAGCGGTGGAGCAGCACGCAGGCCACCTTCACAACGCTTGACAGGACCACGTCACAGCAAGAAGCTCAGATGCCGACCGTGTCCCATATCTGCACCAATCCCATGCTGTCCCCGCTTGCCAGCATCTTGTCCTGGAACACGGGCGGTTTCCATTCTGCATTCCTAGATACGTGCACTATGGTGCCCGGACAAAGACGAGCAAGGCCTCGAGGGAGACCAGACTCCAAATCCTGCAACAAAACGTGACCGAACGTCTCACTCATGAATTTGCATGCCTTCCAGCAAGCAGCCCTGTGGATCAAGCAACCCCAAAGAACCCCAACAACCGAAAACGATGCCAAGCAGCAGCGTGTGTCCACGCGGAGGTTTCCTTTCACGGATGATGCATGGCAACAGCGCGGTAACACTCTCTTGAGAAATGTGGGCCGGGAGGTTGCTGGGCTCATGCTGTCTGGGGCCTGACAGTCGTTAATCGAACCGAGCATCTCCAACTGCATGCTGCCTTCGCATACTCCAGCTTCGATACTCCATTTGGAGATCTTGCTGTCAGCTCCGGCAAAAACTGCCCCGTCCTGCACTGCAAGTCTCAACTCAGAGGGCATCGCACGTCCACGCAGCATCCGTGCCATGTTCTAAGAGGCCACACAGTCTTGGATAAAAGATCAAGACAGCTACAAATCTATAAACTTACACAGGCAGGAAAGCTTGTAACAAAACTTGACACCACATAGAATTCCTAAAAGCCGGAGACGAGTCTGGCACAGCTTGGAAACGTGGACGATCGCCCCAGTTTCCCGGTTCAAGATTGATTCATCAGAGATCTTCCAAAGCTGAGGAGACACAGAACATGGCAACACACGATGGCCCCAATGGACCGAGACCCAAATAAGCGAGGAGTTCCAAAACCATAAACAGAACCGCAACTTATCGCAACATCTGCAGCGACTTACACCAGCACTTGCTCTCACGACTTGGCTCCAACAGCAACTTGTGCTTGTCCGAACGGCAAGAGAATCTTTACAGGCTGTATCTGGCCTGCCCCCTCGCCTTACCACAATCAGCAGAGGTTATCTCGCATTTCTTGCACTTGCAGTTTGCGATCCTTTTTGACATTGGTGCGCGCTCTCTGCGCTATGCTCAACCGCAGTACAGGATTGCCATATATACATCCACGAAGCACAATGGCCACTTCCATATTGGCGATGCTTCGTGTTGCTTGATGGTCTCATTCGCTGTTTACGTTCTTTTTTTTGCGTTTCTGATATGCCCTGGTCTCTGTCAGTCCTTGGTGTTCGTACCAGAGCAGGCACGAGACAGATTGCATATGTATCGCGAGGTGATCAAGTCACTGCTAGCTGTTCTGCGTGAGACACCGGAACTGGATGTGGCGCAGAGGCTCGGGAAGAGCAAGAAATGTCAAGAAAGCACAACAGAAGCTGGCCAGAACGTGGGAACCTTCAAAACGAACTGGAAAGGAAATACTGGAGAATCAGGAAATCCAAATACACAAAAGGCAGGCAACGCAAAAGCGCCAAAGACCTCTGGGAATGGCAAGAAAGTTGGTCCTGATAGTGGAATCTCTTGATTCCCAGCTTTCTGTCTGAGTTGCCTTTTTGCATGTGTACAATCTTGTTGCATTTCATGATACGGTCGGGGATAGAAGGCATAGGCGTACTCTTCATGCGACAGGAAGTCCAGGTACTACGTACGATTCGGAATCTTGGTGCCATCACACTGTGCTCAGTCATTGCACAGCTGCGGTCTGGATTTGGTTCTCGACTTCCCATCACTGGCAGAGTGCAAACAAAACGCAAAGCCCGCATCAGATGGAACAACGCCAACGCAGGAATCCTCGCAGCACGTTAACACATCAAAAAGCCGACAAGCAGAATGCGAGCTGCATGTTTCTTATAAATACAAGAACTGAGACGGAGAATTCAAGCTTCCCAGCAACACCAACAGCAAGCAGCAACAGAGAAAGAAAAGCAAGCAAAATGCAAATCATAGCTCAGAGCACCTACCCGGGTCTGTCGGCCAAGCGATTCTTCAAATCCTGACGCCAAACAACAGACGGTATATCCACCTGGAAAGGCATCCAAGCAAGCACTGCGCTCCTGAACTGCGAGGCTGAGGAGCCTCGCTTTGGCTATGCTTATGCGCTTGGTATACATCAGCGACCCAACTCCACCGGCCAATGACATCACCCGGACAGTGCCATCCTGAGGCACCACATTGAAGCGAAGCCTACGTCTGACAGTATCAGGTTGCAGACGCTTCGCGACAGAGAATATAATGTGTTGCCAGGCATCATCGCAGGCAGCAAACAGCTGCTGGCCTTGAACTGCGAGGCCCCAGACAGCACCACCGCCTTTGTTCAGTCTTCCCCGACCCCGCGAACTTCCCTGCAATGCCCTTATGAGCGTCTCCTCCTCTAGTCGCTTCCCTAGAAAGCCTAGGCCTAACAATCAAGACAGCCAAGGCACCTGGAGAGCAAGTCTCAATCGGCTCCAGCGTCTCCACATCCCATTCTGTAACCTCGCTGTGAAGTCCAGCAGATATCAGCCGCAGCTTCGGCGCTTCTTCCTTAGGCACGTTTTCACTCGACAGGTCCAAAGCACAAGTGCATAAAGGGCAACACTCCGACACCAGCGCGTGCGAGGGGCGACGTCAACAACCCATACAATGCTCCTCGGCCGGCGTCGAGAGTTGCCAGGCGCAGAACTCCGCAAGTGCCAGGTCTCTGTGTCCCACAGCTCTAAAGCGCCGTTCCTTGGCCAGGTATGTTCGAACAACGACGTTCGCTCGCCACACTTCATCTCAGGTGCATACTCTTCTGCGTGCGCAACCATGCAAGATCATGAAAGCCTGTGTCTGCAAACTTCTGCATGATCTTTTTACAGACAGGTGCGAGTGCAACAAATCAGTATCTCGTGTCAAGAATTGGAATCTGATAAACTACGAAACTTCAAAAAAACACAACTCTTGGAATCTCCCATTTTTCCAGACTGTCCAACATCCCCCACATCAACGATTTATCGAAACTTCAAAAGAACACCAAAAAGAGCCACCCTGACTTGTATTACTGAATAAAACTGTCTTGCGCAGTTTCCTTCAAAAAAAACGCCGGGAAAATCCCAAAACCCAAAAACTCACCCTCAGCTACGCAACGGAAAAAATCGAAAACTTTGGATGTTTTGGAGATTTGGGAAAGGCGGCAAGTCCAAGAGCTAGGGTTGCATGCTTTGGCGGAAGTTTGAAAGTGTTGAGCATTCCTGAATTCTGAATATTTTTGAAATACAGGGTGACATGTTTCTGAGATTTTGGAAGACAAGAAATTGAATAGCTAAGAACAACATCAGTTCGGAGATCATGGAAAGTAACAAGTGAAGTGCTGCACGCAAAACCTGCAAACAGATCCGCGTGCCCTGCTCTGCTCAAAACTCATACATTGCATGTATATTATTCATGACGTGCTTCTGCCCAGGTGCTCTTGGGTGTGACTGACCCGAAACCTCTCCAGTTGCACTACCACCCCCACTACGACGACGACGACGACGACGACGACAACGACTACTACTACTGCTGCT